TACCAAAAACTAAAATCATGGTTACCTTAGCTGTTTGACAACACACAATTCTGGAAGTTTGCTTTTTTTCTTCTTCAAAATGAGACTAAAATACTGGCAAATACTATTATTTTTTCCAAGTGCTGTGCAAATAGTGTAATTCATATCTGACCATGGGCGGCACTTTTGTCCAATTTAGCCCAAAGAAAGGGAAACGTCTGCTTCATTTCCCATCACCATCTTTGTTTATGTGCAGAAAAAAATGACCCTCTGGATTTTGAAAAGCCCAGTGTTATCTTTTGGTAATCGGCAGCCTATTGCTGTGACTTAGATGGAAGGATAGGCAAAAAAGCCATAAAAAGGCAAACTATTATCTGCTCTGACACAATTTTTGTTTTGCTTTAAAAGAGATACAATATAAAGGAAGATTTATAAGAAAGTCACCCCCAATGACGTGTTTACTATAATACACCTATAACAAATATACTTTCATAATGCTACCACATGTTAAATTAAAACCGGACGTCAGGCGACATTGACTTCAAAATAAAGGCGTGGTCGATCTGACAATAGATGGCGTACCCTTGGTATTGTTGACAAAAACCATGCTATAAGAAAGTAAAGTCTGTTAGTTTGTATTATATTTATGATTTCTTGGTGATAATCACGTGCAAAGCGTTGGTCTGTATAACGTGTTAGTTGTACTGTTATTACGTCCTCGCCGGAAATATTCTATTATTTCTGACAACTTGACATTTTTCCTAGCATGAAGGTGCTACTGACAGCTGTCACCTTCTGCTTCTCACTCACAGGTAGTTTCACAACATAACAGAGAACAGGATGGTCTAGACTATACAGTGATTAAACTGGTTGATAGATAAAGGAAGTAATTATAGACAAATATGTCTTCCACACTTCTGTACCGGTCGGGCACGGCTAAACCTCTTGTACCAGGAAGACAAGCAAACATGACACCTTTGTGGAGATCGGGATATACAATTATTCTGTTCAACAAACATAGATAGCACTTTACGAATGTATATTATGTGGTTGTTGTTAGTTTGATGTTAAGGAGGACAGAGCCTTTAATAACTTTGTTTTCTGTCGGGTGTGTACGGCCTGGTCTCACAACGCTACTAGCTCCTGCACCATTTCCGTGTTGTATACGGAATCATGTCCACGGAGCCTGTTCCACGCCAATTAAATGCATAGGTGTTGCTGAATTACTAAGCAAAACAATAATATAACCGTAGCAGCCCGTATTTAATGGATGTTAAATACACTGCGACACTGTTGCAGGACAACGAGTTAATAAGTGAAAGGGTGCATGACGTCTAAATCAGTGAGTCCAATAGGATACAGAAAGAATGTGATGTTAAAACAACACAACGTACCTAGTGCCACCTCGCAGGCTTTGCGCAGTTGAGAATGGTGAGCCTTTTTTACCTCCTTGTCGGCCAGGATCTTCTCCAAAGCTCGTGTAAGGAACATGTTTTTCATCTTTTTGCCCTCATACATGTCGCACCGCAATTTGGGGCGAGGTGTGCCTGGTCCCGAGGGGGGTGCAGCCGCCTCGAATAGAGATGTAATCCTTTACTAATGTCAGCTGCAGAGCCCCTAACAGACAAACAAAAATAAACTCACAAGGTGGAGTAAATCCCTCAGATTTCCATTAACGACCTGCCTCCTGCGCCATATTGGAGAGAGGAAACGACGTCACGTACGTTAGAGAGCGGCCGCAGTGAGGCAGCAGGGGGAGAGATGTCAGGAGTGTGGTCACAGCTAAGATTTCAACATATTCATCTGGCTGTATAAAACACACACAAAATTATTCGACTCAGATGTGAAACAAGTTGTAGATTCTTCTT